CGGCATTCAGTTGTTTCCGAGTGGAAAGGACTGATCAAGTAGAACGGTTGGTTATTATTTTTTCTTATCGGCGGATCATTGCAAACGGTGATCTCTTATCATATGCTTTTGTGTACAAATGGAAGCTTTACATTTCAGAAACCGCTGCCTTCTAGCTAAGACAATTGATATCTCTCATTTGTTTGCCCTATACATTCTTGATATTTGCAAAAAGAAAAATACTAATTCGTGTTGCAATGTTCTGCTCGAACAAGGGTTCGAGAACACTCCACCGTCCGAGGTGAAACGCGACTGTGAAATCCTCTACGAGCTTTTACTATAACAGTAATAAATTGTCGCTGTTAATTAAAATAATGTGGTTTCCTTTTCCTTCTCTAGAAAGATTCGTTATCGTCCAGCATCAGAGGCTGTTCTTACGCGTTTCATGTCGATTCTATAGCTCTTTAATTTCTCTCAGTCAATTTCATACTTTGCCTCTGGTAGTGCACAGAGGTCTTATCTAACGCACAGTTGACGGTAATTCATGAAACACATAGTGTTTATATGTTATTTTCTCTAGTTTTGTACGATTCTTCTATGTTTCATGTAGCAGATCAATAGGTCACAGTGAGACAGCTAGCGAACCCATTCTACAAGTATCTGGCAGGGCATTTATAAGTGAAAAAAAAATATATATATATATAACCAAATAAATCATGCTATATGTTATGTACAGGATGAGCTGGAAGTCTCGATAAGCATCCCTTGAAAGTTGGAAGCATTTGCTGAGGCAGTGACGAATTCTAGCTGATTATTGCAACGAAGAGCTAATTTGGTTGTGCAATAGCTTCTATATGCTATAGGGTATTTATTGCAAATGCAATTGATCAATCTTCAATCCATCAATTAACCGACAGCTCCTTTTAGATACGCCTGTTTTTCTGTGTTTTCGGATTTGATGTTAACGACCAAGCGTCATCGTAAGCTTTCTCTCATTGAAAAACTTCCTTATTAAATATAGCTTGTCTTCAAACAAAAGGCCAGAACTGCTAACGTTTTGGTTAAACGTAAATTACGTTATTCTGCTTGTGGCAGTAGCCACAATAGTCATTGCTATGGCGATTAATGTGGTATAGAAATTCAATCGAAGTATGATTGAATCCACTATTTATTGCAATCATTTGGTAACAAATGACACAAAAGGACCCTCCAGCCGTCACTTGTACCTTGCTTTTACTTGTTAGTTATAGGCACCTAGGCGAAGGCGGCAGCCTATGATAACAGATGTCATAAAAATAAACAAAACTGTAAAAACGAATCAATGAATTATTACCACACTCGAATAACTGTAACCCCCATCGATCTGTACATACATAACGTCTTTCGCCCATGCTAACATAGCCGTTTATTCGCCAATCCTGGACGCGCGACGTGTCCGTTCTCAATCTATCGAGGAATAAACCGACCCACGTCGTTTTTACCCTACGTACGCATGGTTTAAATAAGAAGCATTCTATACCTAGCTGGTATACTGCACGACGAGCGTCATTTAATAAGGAAACGAAAAAAATGATGAATCGATTTAGGTTTCTTTTGAATAAACGGCGCAGGCGTCTTGCTTTATTTGCTAATCGGACTCACTGCGACGCGAAGTATTTCATTGACTTTGAGGAAACGTGGATTGCGGGCGTCCAGTCCATCTGCTGCAGTATATTCAAGCTCATTTTGTTTTTGCCTGCTATCCTTAAGGATACGTTATGGTCTAGGTTCGAATCCGTACGTAGACAGACAGTTTGACTTCGTTTCGTACTTCGGTCGTTCGGTGGAATGTCTGACGGCGAAAAATAGAGTATATTCGAGCCTACCCAGGTGACGCCAGTTTTGTTTTGGCACAGTGTGTTGTTCGAGGCATTGACTACAGCACATTAGTAGAATAAGTACTACTTATGTAAGACAACATTAGAGTTATTTTGGCGCGAATAGGCCTAGCGTGAACATCTGTCAGCGTTGTTCCCAGGGGTGATGCAACAATTCGAGAGAAATAGAACCTTGTATACCAATCAAGGGAAACCAAACGTTTACCATCACCTAGGCAGTATTATAGTCTATTTCGTTTTCTCTACATGTTTTCCTTGTAGAGGTGCGGTGCGCAGCGGCAAGAGCTTCTGTGTCAGCGACATAACGAACTTTGGTTGATAAGGCATGGTCATACAAAGTACAGAATATGTAAATAGTCAATTGAAATCTTTATAGCTGCTGTTACCGTTACTACCTATTCTGAGAAATATTATCGTCTGACATAACGTGTCACGCCATTCGCTTAGACATGAGCGGCTGTTTATCACTTGAATTGTTCAGGAAAACGTAGTTGCAGCGCCAGTAGAAAAAGACGCTATTGTGCTATTGTCAAAAACGATTTCTTGGTTCAAGTTGTCTTGCGATTGGCCTGTGAAAATAACGGAAGTTGCCATTCCTTTGTTAGATACCATTTTTGTTAGTTATAGGCACCTAGGCAGAGGCGGCAGCCCATGATAACAGATGTCATAAAAATCGGACCTTCTCTTTTCGCTTTTTAACGAAACTTGTTTAACGTCTTCATACGACTATCAGTCGTATGTCAATAATGCGTATGTTATCACTCAAATTTTGTTGAGAATATTAGATCGACGTGCCTGAATTAAAAAAAAGTCGCTACTTTGCGTAGTACCCTAAAGCGGGTACGTATAATGAATTGATCACCAATCATAAGTAACCGAAAATTAAAAAGTTTTAAAAAACAAAAAAGCACCTATTTGGTAAAAGCCTCATATTGTCCCCTAGTAAATATGAATCAACAACATAGTCATCATAACAAAGCCTAATCGGTATATCAGCAGGTTTGACGTCGCTGATAATCCGTGCTACATGTAACAAATAAAACATTTTTCTGCGCGGTGTCCATCACTCCTATATACCTTAATCATAGAATAATAAGACTCACTGTGGTTGCACAATCTATCGTGCCCTGCATGACGCTATCTTCCAGATTGTTTTAGGAATTCGGTTTTTCTTCATCACCATCTGATTTAATGTGGATTGTACGAGCAAATGATGTATCTAATTGTCTACATTTTAGTTCTTCACTTATTCAACAAGTAAGTACGTAAAACGCCTCTTTGGATAGAATAGATTCTAAACTTATACGACTGCCGAAATCAATTACTTTGACAGTTTCCTAAGTATGAACTAGTTAGCACGTGGAAGTGACTATCTAATCAATACTTTACGAAACCTCATCCCTAAAGCAGTTCTAACGTCCTAAAGTGGAAATCTCAAATCACCCTTTATAGAACAGTTTGCTTTTACTAGCCTTCTGCTTTGGATTTTGTCTGCCAGCGCTGCTTATCCATTCATCAGCTACTATCTTTTCCATTTTGCATCCCACTCAGATCTTCCGGCGTATTACAATGCTCCGTCAATACCGATGCGGCAGTTTCAGCTATTTTCTGTGAGATGAAGTACACTAATTGCTAAGCGAAATATAATGAATTGTATTGGATTTACAGTATAAACAAAGCTCATTTAGCTAATCGCTGACTTATAATTCTTCTGCTTCCCAAACTCTTATTCACAAAGCCTAGAAAAAATCTTAATACACGAGTTTTCGATTTACGAATTTCGTCTGCTAGCGGCGCGCAGTTGGCAAGTTATTCAATTTCGCAGCTCGCCGAATTCGTTTGTAATAGTGCAATATCTCTATCAACTTCTCTGCAGCGCTAATGCTTTCGATAAAGTTGCACAGATATAAAGAACTAAACCTTCGCAAAGACCTCGATCGAAACAGGAGAGTTTTCCGTGTCCTTTTTTCAATAGTGTGTGCGAACAAAAAGCGTTTTCCAAACAAAGAAAGTTTATATAACATTTCTTAATTCTAAACTTAATTACTTCACTCAAAAATAACACCGATTAAATATAAAAATTCCAAAAATAACAAATGATTTTGGACGATCATTCTTTATGTCGAATCATTAATTCCAGTTAGAATTACCGGTACAATTATTATTTGCTTCTCTGCGGACATCCACAGCATCACATGTTCTATTATTTTAGAAAAAACGTAAAAAAAAGTATATACTTTTCCTTAATTTGCTGTTTCCGGTAGAAGTTTCAAACATTACCAATCAAGGACGTATCACAGTTGACATCTAATGGCGGATTCCCTTCAAGTAGTTTACCTGTTTAATACTTCTTGACGCTTCCAGTCCATTATGATGAGCTAAGAAAAGGATCTAACTGAACTATAACTTACCTAACTAGATCTCTTAAAGATTCGCTAAAACTGTTATATTTTTTATCTGTCGATTGCAGCATCCTCTTAGTTACCTATTATTTTTCAATCGCTAGACTACCTCTACGAGGTCCGTTTTATTCAGTGGGTGGTTTCTCATCTTTTGTCAGATCCGATTGTGCCTGTAGACTTTAACGCTGCCCAGAAATAGCCGATAACCTTGCTTAGTACTTAGATATCATCAGTCTTCTAAACTGAGCGCCCCGCTATGGTACTTCATACTGTACAGAAATGCGTTTGGTACACGAAGGTCTTGAAGTAATTCAATTTACCTCAGCTTACACATTGTTCTTGAACTATAATAATAATATGCATATATGATCATAAAATGTGTTCGTCATCGATTCCATTGTGTCGTATTTTTTTTTCTTTTATCTTGAAAGTTTCTCACATTGAAGCTTCCAGTCCATAGATCAAATAGATAATCAAATATCGCATTTTTGATATGTTCTGAAGCGTCTAAAGTGGTATGAGCCTAATCAATCATATCATATTTTTACATTACATAGGAATAGATTTACGCCTGCGAGAAGTCTACCGGTACATTTTGCGTGTACAAAATCGCTACCCGTGGGCTTTGTTCCTTACCTGTTTCGTTATTAAACGCACCTTATTTTTTCTCTGTGAAAATATTTATTACACCGATTATCTCCGTCGAATAGTGACTAATAATGTCCTAACAGTGAATCCTATACGCACAATTTAAGCACAATTTTTCTATAACAAGCTGACCACCCTTATTCCTGCATTACAAACTTGAGCAGCACATGTTGTTACAAAATACAATTTTCACTGGAATATACATTTGATGATATGTGAACGCGGATGATGCTGGTGGCCGCCGCCCTTCTGCTGTTTCCAAATGTTTCAAACGTCAAACAATGTTTAGCCTCGTTTTATAATCAACCAACTTAACATACGTTTCATAAAAATAAATAAGCTTTGCTTTCTGCTTGAACTTAAGCACAGACGTTCAAAAACGACACACCAAAAATCAACCTGAGAAGTTGTTTTTGGGTTGAACGAACCTGCAAACCTATATATGTATGTATGTATGTATGTATGTATGTATGTATGCAAACAAACTCTACAAATACCAAAATCAGTGTTTTGATAAGATCCATTAATTTTCAGGTCGATCGTACAACAAGATAACATTTATCACACGTATAATAAGACGCCTCCATTGAAATAAAGGTGGAATAAATGTTGATATATGTTGATCGTTTTGCGGAAACTACAAAAAAAAAGCCATATGTGGATACATATATCTCTATTTATACACTTTGTATATAAAAGGTTTTGCGTATATTGCATGCGATTTTCTATGAGAAATGAAATTTGTGCTATAGCGTTTACCTGGGCAGGCGATGGTCGCTCCGAAAAAACAGCCGCCTAGTTGAGGTGTTACCGGTGTAATACGCTTCTGAGTTTTAGCACACAGAACGGTATTTGCGCGGCGATCTATCGATGCGGTTGCGAGGTAGTAGTAATAAGCACGACAATTTATTTGATGGAGCAGGCAGGCGTGTCTTCAATCTGAACAAAATTATCAAGTTCCTTAATTTTCGGCCCGGACGTCGTGATTCCTATTTTGATCTGATATAAACGTACATATATACGATGTGCTATAGAAGTCAGTTGTTACACCACTGCTGCATACGTCATTGTTATAGATATTAAGCCCATTATGAGCACGATATGAAGAATCCCATAACCCCAGAGCGTCCGGTCAAGAGGCAGTCGCCCCATGACATTACGTATTGTCTAAACTTATCACACCGTTTTCGTTATATATATATGATCCAACAACATCGTTGTCTTCTTTTGTTTATCACACTTTCTATCTATATCAAAATAATATTATTCAAATATTATTATTATCATTCACGCCGTTACTGCTATGGGAGCGCTTGTTTTGTGTCTAACTTTTTCACTGCTTCACATAGATGATGTTGTACATTTTACCGGGTATATTTTATCCTTCTATATTAACGTATTACTATTATCTCCCTACTACGAATGAACAGTATGGCAAGCACGCACGCACGCACGCACCTCCTCATAGGCCAAGTAATTAAGGTAAAATAGTGCTTCTTAAAAAGATCAATATTGACGATCTGCGACAGACCGAATCGAGAACACGATGTCCTTCCGATGACGATATGTTCAAATGTTCATCTCGTTGGTGTCAATTTTATAACGTTACTTCTATTCCTTTCTATAGTTGTTTTTACGTTATTATTATTTGATATACTGATGATGTATTTTGAGTGACGATTGGTTCTTTTGCATAGTCAGGCTCACGAGCATAGCATGAATGACTCGAGAGGAAAATATAGAATTCATTAACTAGTTTCTGCTCATCGATTGGTAAAGGGATGGTACGATGGTGTATATATATTACCTGAAACAGAAGATCAGTGAGAAAAATATTTGTTCGTGTACTTCCACATCTCTACATCGTACATGTACTAACCTTTGCGCAAGCAAAAATGATCGCCAAACATTTATCGGGAGAGCCTTTGCTCTCATTAAGCATAACGTCAATAAAGGTAGGTCGACCCTTTTTAATAGTCTGCTCAACAACCTTATAAAAAGTTTGCAATGGATCCTCTAAGGTTTATAATACGAGTGTTAAGGACGAGTTTCTTGATTTGATGGTAAAATGGTGACTTTTATCTATAAAGTTCATTATCAACGTAATGTAGACCACAGCAGTTCATAGTATTTTTGGTGGGAGGGTGTAGTTTCTTTCTTTTTTAGGGGAACGTGCTACTAATTTAATATTTCTAAATATATCCTTTACAGATGGTGCTGCCTTTCGGCCTGGCAAAATCGCGTACTTTGCCTGTTTAGGCGATTCTTTACGAATCTCTCATACATGCCTGTAAGATAGTAAGGAGCTCAATCGCCATTTTGTCCGCCGAGGATTGCATGGACGTTATATAAATGCGTTTCCTTTGTGCCGATCGACAGAAAATGTAATGTAACTGAATACAACGATAGATGTTTTGGTGTAAAAAGAACAAGAAACCGAATATGGCACCAGTATTTCCCTACAAGGAAATTTGTTCTAAGAAATTTTTAAACGGTTTTTTGACCGAATTTCTAATAAGGATTAATTGTAAGAAAAAAAAAAGCGCTAGCATCTTATGTAGCGAACATTTAAGCGAAGCAATTTTTTAAAAAAATTTCTAGGTTAACCAAAATGTCAAAAACTTTTATCCTACGTAAGGTAGCAATTTTTTTCGGGCCAATTAGATCCAATTTTGCGCACCAATTGATGCATCTCGCCGAGCTGAGGAAAGATGCAACACATTTTTCTACAGTGAACGTTCATATTCTGGCGTAGAAAGGGCCTAAAATCGATTGTGGTATTTTCTCCGCATATATGAGACAGGGATGAACTTTTTTTTACGTAGAAGTGTATCTATGGTAAGCGGTAATCAATCAAAAGGGTTTGGTCAGCAAAATCGAAATGTAATACACGCAAAAACATGTACCTAAATTTCGGTTCTCGAGTTGGAAATGGCGTTTGAAGGATGAAAACTTGATATCGTATTCTATATAAGAAGGTTTTTCCTTAACAATAATCCATAGACTCCGACGGCCTGAATAAATATGCAATGCATGTCCCTATATTTACAATGGGCCTTTTTTTGAGTGAAAATGGAAAAAAAAACCCTATTAGTCATATGAGTTTATCTATACAACAAAGAGGTGAAAATCCTTTCGAGTGATTTTTTGAGCAAATTACAAATAAATGTCAGTTATAACGTTGAAGCGGCCAATGCGAAGCTGATTCTCTTTAAAAATTGTTAATTTTGAGAGAAAAATGCTAAAGTATCGAAAGATGTGTAAAAATATTGTAACAGATAAATTAAAAAATATAACGGGAATCTTCAGGCTTTGGTGGCGTCCTCGAAACAGAATCAATACATGAAACATTATATATATATATATATATATATGTATGTTTCATCTGATATATATTATTTTTTTCTTTCTGTGTGTTTCTTTCTTTTAATTTGTAGAGTATGTAGCCATTTATTATAAAAAAAAAAGAAGATAAAAAAAACTTTTTAGCCTTGATGATGTTCCAGAAAGAGAACCAATAGGTTATCTGATTTGGTTTACTTACATTTCCAAGGGGTCAACCGGCGATCGATCTTAATTACCTGCGTTTCGGAAGCAAAATCGATCAGTAAACGTTCCAGAAGAAAACATTGTAGAAATAGAAGCCAATATATCACCAAGCGAGACATCTCAAGAGTTGACTCAATCTAATGGCGGACATACTAAAACAGACTGATAAAATCATCGCAGAAGAATGACAAGTTCGGCAAGCATGAAAATTGCAATAGGTAACTGTTAATGTGTACTCGGCTTATAGTTTTCGCTAGATGTCTAAGTGAACGAATCATATCAGAGCTAAAAAAAATCAAGTTGAGCCTTTCTAGTATATATATAGACACTTTTATATAGATAAGTGTCAAAGCATATGGATGCGAGCGCACCTTGAGCATGTCCGCATGTGGCCTTCCAATTTCGTTGCTTCCATTTCTCGCCATTTAGATTAGGCATGGACTGCTAGAGCTGCTTGTCGTGACAGCTACCCTTAGCCTAGGTGGCGACTCTTTAAGATAGTGAAGTTTGTGTGTTAGTTATATATTGAAAAAAGAAAGAAAAATAGTAGTAGCAGGTTAACGTGAATTCATAAAGGGAAATTGCCACGACATCCGAGTATAAGACAAATCTCTATTTTCGCTATTTGTTTACCTACTAAGCGACACGACAAATAGGATCTTTTGTCGTCCTTATGGTCCACCCCTTTGTATGCATATTTAAATTTGTATCTTCACAGACCAATGAAATAGGTTAAAATGGCTTGGTGTGTTATACTGACGAACCTGATCACCTAAATGTTCCCACTACTACCTGTGTTTGCGACGGCTAACTTCCGGCACGAAACGAACCATGTATGTGTGCGCGGGTTCGAACCTAGGCCACAACATATCCCTCAGATTAGCTACAGAAACACAAACTCTATGAAGTTTAATATAAAGCTGGAAAGGTTTCAGGCCGGCTAATTGGTTCACCTGTGACGCATGTATGCTTATCCTAAATTAGCGAACTCTAAAAACCTTGTCCCTATAAACAGAGTGTTTTCAATTCCCTCTTAACATACAGCTGTGATTCGTTGCGATTCTGGCGGAAGCGTCGTAACGATTCGAAAACTGGAAGTAGTCTTCTGGTCGGTAAAAACCAATATTCCAGTCTAATTTATGCGAAGATATGCCAACGCAAAGAACTAACATAAATAAATATTAGTCTACATCTCAAAGTTTGATAATTTATTCTCATCTATAGTTAGCAAAGATGCACGTCTCACATACGTACATTACCATCTTGGCTCATGAATGGGCATTGTCACTCTCGTAGTAGAGTAATTCTATGTGCGCAAACACCCTCCAACATGGGAGGGAACGATTCTTTTTTTTTTTTTTTTTATCCAATTCCTTGCTCGCAAAGGTAGCAGTCATATGCGTAAAATTTCAACCAGCTCATCTATTTATGTTTATTATTTACGTGCTTCTGTTATTTCCTCTTCTTTACAATATCCAACGATAAGTGGCTGTGCTAGCGGATATGTAGCAGACAAACCAGCGGCCTTCAGCGGATGATCGTTGTTTGTGTGGAAAAGTCGACGATAAAGAAGAATCAGTAAACGTTTTTAGTTTGTTCCTGATACTATGGATTTCCCATTGCTGTTCGTTATTCATAAAATAGCCCATTAACACTGTATTAGACCTTTTCTCACCTCTTTACTTCTTTCTGCCCAACACTACGTCTTCGTAGGTAAATATGGGATGACAACAACCAGCCGGGTCAAAATCTGGACTTCGTCTGGATAAATTGTGTACCTACTCATGGTGAGTTGCATGACTCTGTCGGCGAGTGACGACAGGCAGTGAACAAAAGAGCAGACGAAAAGGTGAACGGACATGTCCGTATGGTCGACAAGCTAGTCGGCCTGCTTGCCTTTTGGCTATCCGCTATATCACTGTCAGCGTATCTGCCTCGTTGCACTGCTGAATTAATAATGGCACTAACGATCTAATGCGTTATTCCTACTGTAAAATCGCGACATCGGTCGATCCGTGATGTTAAGATAAAAGCGTTGAGCTTAAATTAATCTCTGTACATACACAATAGCGATAGATAGAATGTTAACAAATGAAATATTGAAAACCGCAAAGCACAAAATACAGAAAGAATGGACAACAAATTATACTTTAGGCCTGTTTAATCATTGTGTAAAACGTCAGGCTCCGTGGCGAACTTCTACGCTTTGTGAGCAATGGGTGAAGCCATGCATTTTTTGTGTAAATCGTAATGATTTCAAATAATTCAATAAGCACGATCTGTGCGTTATGTCCATATCGGCGCTGTGTCTACGTCAAAATTGGCCCCGTTATCCAAAATATAGCTCCTTTGGCTAGTTAGTTACAATCGTCTGCTGTTGGCCCATGTAATCCGGTGACTTACGTCGGTCTTTACCAATTTATCCATTGAAAAGAATCACTTCGTTGATAAGCGCCTAGTGAAAATTTAGTCACGTCTTGCTCGCTGGAAAATGTTGTGTCGCTGAACGTTGAAGGACATTGTTTTGGCTGGACGCAGCTCCGACAGCTCTCGTACCTCGTGTATTGGGTGCCTCATTCCAAGCTGTCCAAACTAATTAAGCGTTCTGGGTCAACTGATCCAGATCGCTTAGTTAGATCGGAGTCGATTCCGTTAAACCCAGAAATTTACTTAGCCCCATCGACTTCTTTACTATGAGTTCATGACGTAACCGGTTTTTATAGGTGAGTGTATATTTGAGTCGACGTTCAGCTCACTGCACAAGAGGTCACAAATTGGATCTAATGTAAATAAGAATTGTCGTCAATGCTGATACTGATTAGTAATGAATTGAGCTGAAATCGCGGAAAGCGAAGTTTCCCCATAGTGGTCTTCTAAGTTCCGAATATCCAAACTCAGCTTTTGTATTGTATACGAAATTCGCCATTAGAGAAGTTTGGGCCTCTGCGTCAGATTGTTGGAGTCACAGGTAGTCGAAGTACGGTACATACAATTATCCTTTAAGCCAGTTATATATAACATCCTTTTTGTTACTAAACTATGCGCAATGTGCCAATGAAAACATAGGCGAAACAAACCGATTTTGACAAACGTCCTTTTGAGTAGACCTGGATTCGGCCTCATGTCTTATAAATAAAATATGAAACACGCCTGGCGGCATTTTTCAGACCAAATAAATTAGAATACATTTCAAACGACTCCAGGCCGCGACGTACTTTTTATAGCACGAAATGCCTCGATGGGTGCTGAGTCAGTCAATCAATCCATACGATCCTGTCCGATCAAACGGGTCGATGCTATCAGTATCGATCAAACGTCCTAAAAATATCATCGTTCGCCATGTGCGACTGTCTGCCCGAGGTCGGTTTTGTTGCTTCTGCCTTCAGCACCGTATGTATACACATTGTCTATATTACTGATGCTAATAATTTTCATTATTTTGACATATATCAAAAAGTTAATACTCAGCATTGCAGGGTTCTGTTCCTGTCGGTAACTTGCTTAATAAGAACAGCAACTCGTGTTGAATAGGTGTATAGATATGTTGTATTTACCCAACGGTGGTCTAATCTCCACTATAGGTGTAACACAATTTCAGTTAGATGGCTTTCACTGGCGTCCTGAGTAACCCAAAATGTTCAAAACTTGGCTTGTAATAGTACTACGTTCAATAGGGTTGTATTTACATATCTCACTGTTTCCAGTGTTCGAAGCTCAAACCATCGCTAATTGAAGCCTCTTCCTCAGGACATCCAACGATCTGCTAATTATGGGAGCGTGAGAATTGTGTTTATCTGACAGGGTAGGATAGTTCACTTAGAGTGGCTTCCGCTACTCGAGTAGGCCATGCGTCTAACGGAAACGGCATAGCTTATTTAGAAACTGACACACAATAATAATTTTTCACAAGGACTCCATATATATGTATATCGAAACAAAGTAATTATCAAGCAAATACCTTTTATCCGCACTACTTTTATCGGCAATGGTACGGGGGTGGCAATTACAGTGACAACATATGAACAAGAAGCTGTTACCACCATATGGGGCTGCTGCGTTTCAGTATGGGTTTTCGCCGCTGACCTCAGTTGTTTAATCAAAGCGGGCACTAGTAACAGAGATACTATAAACACGTGCGTTAAGCCACTTTGGAAACCTTCTAATAACAAAAACACATAATTTGGTATTAGGGCCATTGTAATTAACATCCATGTTACAATATTGTTAATATTCTCTTGCAGCTCATCCTACGTAAACATACGATTGCTCTATTCCTACACACAACGAACGCTAGGATCAACCCAATTTTTTTTCCTTAGTGCTCGATAATTGATTATCAGCTATACTCTACACACACACACACACACACACACACACACACACACACGAGGCGCATGCACAAATGAGACAGACACGGTGATCAGCGATAACGCGAAAAGTGTTGATGAGAAAAAGTCATCATCTACTGGAATGGCGTGGCTTTTGGGCATATGCATTTGTAGCCAACATACAAAATGAGCTTAAAAATGATTGATTTTAACTGTAGGCAAACTGGACGACAAGTGACCGGAACGACGTTTAGGTTATTGGCCAAAGTAGAGCCTGCTGTACGGTCATCTAATTATAGACGTACACATATTCACAGCCAGTTGAAATATAGGTAGATATCAAAACAGCATCATCATTCGACATGTACACTTCGTCGAAATGATAGATATAAGCGCAATTGTCAACAAAGCTATGCCGTTGACAAAACCCAACGTCAATCGTATCTTGCTTCGGACAAATCTTCCTTAGATGCCACCTTCATCATGCGAACTATAATGGTAACGACCATGTCTCTAGATGGCTTTAACGTGTTCAAAGTGAAAAAGATGGCCGCTCGGTATTACCAACGGTGTTGCCTATTTGCTCGTTTGAGGTACATCTGCTCGAATGACCATCTGCCATCAGATCAAGAGATGCGAATCAATGTATCAATACGCAAGCGCACTGATCAGCCGATCGGCGCATTTCGACTGCGTCTCCGCGATGACATTCGAGCTGGCACTGGGGACGATGATGTATTTTCAACATGTCTGGAACATTTATTGGCCTATTCTATAAAGTCAGATAAACATGAAACACGAAATACGACCGGCTGGTTGTGTTTATAGTATACCCACTTTTGAGTTTTTCCTCCCATCTGTGGCCACATAAGATTTTCAAGGATGTAGAAAATTACAGCTTCAGCGAATGTCTCGCACATTTAGAAACCATATGTAGTAATACAGTGGTAAGTAAAGGTTTAAGTGGATTAAAGCAGATTTACCGAGATAGTGAACCCAAACAAACCTTTCCGGTTTTTCTTCCTTTATCCCAACTTGCGAAAATATTTAGCACATATTTATGTTGATTGTAGTTATGATGGAATTAGAATGCGAACGTGCCACACATTATCGTTTAGATCATTCGCGCAGTCGAGGTGAATGTCTCAAACTGGAAGAACAGGTCTACCGCGTTCCTTGTTTGAAAAATACGCGCCTTCGGCAACATAATTCGAAATTCTGCGGGTGTTAAGGCAGACAAAAATAACTCAATCTCACTTCAGTTTTGAACGATACCGAGAAAGCATGAGTTCAGCTGGGCGATTCATTGCTAATATTGAACATAGATACCGCAAAAGAAGGCACAGACCAAGAAATTGAACGTTTTTATAGCACGCTATATTTTACATGTTGAATGTTAAGTAGTTTACGAAAAAGTTAGAAATAAAAAACAGTATGAAAAATTAATCCGAATGACTTCTGCGACCAGTGATTTATGATGCGGCTTAGTAAATCGATATGTGGAACAGCTGCTCTATCCGCATATATATTTCTACGCTCACCTTGTCCCAAGTAAATGCAGACAGCAACGGAGATCCGAATCCATTTCTGGAAAACAAACAACAACTGAGTTATTATAAGAGCTATACTATTAACGCAACAGTGATAATCAATGGATTACTAAAAAAATTATATACTTTTGTATCGGCGTTGGAACAGCTGTGATGTTTATACCCTTGTTAGAAAGGCTTGTGTGTCTAGCCTATATGAATAGATAGATGAGCGTTAATTATTAATGCGTGAGTTGAGGTTCGGACAAAGTTATACGAACGAAAAGTAAATAACCAGTTTATTTTATGTCAGCTTTGACTAGAAATAGCTATAACATCGATACAC